CTCAAGCCCTAGAGACACTGGTTTCTCATGGGTCTACAATGAGGAAAAAAAACTTAGCATACGGCATATGACTCTGGAGTGAGAAATGGCCTATTTTGCAGTTACAATTCATGGTTTTAAGATGATGGACTCTTGAGGTCTATTCATACCTACACCAACTTTGCTGACCAAATGTCTTCGTCAAAGTGCTTAATATCTCTTAGATTTGTAGCCACCACTGTTTCAGTGATGCTTATTTTATTTATGAGTAAGAGGAACATTAAATGGTATAAAGCTTTGCCGTGTAAAAGTGATCTACAAAACCACATCATCTTTATATGATAGCTTATTAAAAATGCCAGAAACTTCAGGTGAGCATAACAGGGTCTCCAAAGCTTGACGAGTGTGGGCAGGATATACATGGTGAGCATTTGATAGAGGTTATTTTTATCTCCTGGGCTCCCTGTTTCTCTTCCTTCCTTCCTTGGTTTTAATTGGGATGCTTGTTCCACAGGGAGCTGATTAGAAGCCTTGAACAAGGGATTGTACAGAATTGGAGAGATCAGATGGGTTTTCAAAGGGCTATGGTGCCCGCGGCTATCTGGAACGTACGACAGAGAAGGTCGTATGGAATCATCACATTGGCTGTGCCAAATTGATGATTTAGAATAGGAAACCATGAATAATTCCTAAAATCGTCTTCCCTCCTCACTCCACATCCCTCACAAAGAAATGATGATTTTTTTAACCTTTGTTAAATCTCCAGATGCCAACTCTTCCTCCCCACCTCCGCATGAAATCACTGTGCCAATTCACCGTTTTCTCTTGCTTGTGAACTACAATAGGCACCTGATTGGCATCTCCATAGCTTCTTAGTCATCTCTAGCCTGTTTTTGTATCCTGCTACATTATTTGGCATGATGATTTTTTTTATTAATGCCCATCATTATATCCAGCTGGACAAGGCTATAACCATAGCACTGAGGAGGCTAAGAAAGAAGACTGCCAAAAGTTTGGAGCTTACCTAGCCTACGCAGAGAGTAGCAGGCCACTCTGGCCCAGTTTTTTTCATATTTAAAATTCCAATCATCTTGCAAATTTGAGGATGAGGGTTAACCCCAAATATGTTCCGGAACACCCTGTACAAATTGGGAAAGGTCTGCCTTGTCTGAGGCACTTGTCCAGCTCTCTCTGTCTTAACCAGGCTCATTTCCTAGACACCGAAGAGAATTTCCTTGCCTTAGGCTCTGTGTATACGCATTCTCCTTGCCTAAAATTCTGTCTTCAGTTTGACCTAAGCTCAGGGCACAGGATTCTTTATAACCCTTTTCTGTCTCTCAGAGGAACCAGGCTCTGACTATACACTATCTTAACACTGTACCCTTTTTCTTACTCTGGGTAAAATTTTAGGGATAAGCAATTTGTAACAAAACTTATTCATGTGCTAATTTGGTTCATGTACATGAGTCTATAAGTTCTTAAGCAATAATACTAACTTCATTATATTTTGTTCAGACCGTGGCTATTGAATTTTTAGTGCATATACTAGTGCTTAGCATTATTTATTTCATGAATGAAGTATTGAAATATTTCTAAGAAAAGAAAACAACAGCAAAAAAGAACTTGACAGAAATTTTTTCCAGGAGATGAAAGGGATAGATAGATAGATAGACAGACAGACAGACAGACAGACAGACAGACAGACAGATAGATAGGCAGGCAGGCAGGCAGGCAGGCAGGCAGGCAGGCAGGCAGGCAGGCAGGCAGAAACATAGATAACCTTGCTATATAGTCCCTGGCTAGACCGGTACTCTGTGTATAAAATCAAGCAAGCCACTTGAGTTCTGGGAAAAGGTCATGCATAACCATAACTACGCCTAGTTGTAATGCTCTCATGACCAATAGTACATCAAAAATCAACATGAACCTGAGACTGGAAAGCTAGAAAAAAAACTCCAGGATGGAATCTGGTCATTCTCAACCCTACCTGAATATGTGTCATTTGAGTTTCTTTAAAAGACGGTGGCCATAGCTCTACTTTGTAAGTTCTGAAATTTTAGGTCTGGTTTTCAGTACAAGGACTTGTCTTTTTACTGGCTTCCCAAGTCTGTCACACGTAATCTTTGCTTAAAATACACAGATCTAGTGGTCACCCAACTATTTAATTTACAGAGTTAGTATTAAAATCCAAGAAGCCTCGCTCTCAAACCTCAAACTTCTCAATTACTTGAACATTCTGTGCCTGAACAATAAAGCACATTGTCACTCTGACACCCCAAATTTGCGTGGAGCTAAGTTAGCTCCTCCCTTACGAGGCTCAGTTTTTATGTGCTTTATGCTGCCCCACACAAACAGAGGATCTTCATTCCAAATGTCCAGCACAGAGCTGCTGGACTGTTCACATAAAATCCTACGTATGAAGACAGAATAGTTCTTTAAACTGGGTGCTGAGGACCAGTTGTTTCCATAGACCCCCAAATCATCTACAAAGGCAGTCCCAGAGCAAGTGAGAGCCCTGTGCTCCCAGCACTATTGGAGTCATTGATTATTAAGCATTCGTTTTTGAAGCAAAAGTTCCCTGAGGTAACTAATTGGTCAACGGTTGAGTTCAAGTCTAGGCAGCATATTTTTACACCTTTGTATTTCTGAGGCTTTCAAGTAATATGTAAATAGAAAAAAAGAGAATTTGTTCAAGAATTTGGTGCAATGTGAAAGCAGAATATTCCATACTATGGTGATAAATTCTTATCTTATTCAAACCGACTTAGAACCAGGACATTCTAGAAACTCAGGGCCAGGGCTTAAAGATTAACACCAGAGAATAAGGACCATTCACTGATGTACATTGCTATCCAAAGCCCTATTCTACAACCTTGACCTTCATAACCCTTGCCCCATTGCCAAGAAAAGAATATTTAATGAGTATTCTATTTTGTCCAGAATGACTGACTTCAGCAAAAAGTCAAGGAAGAAAGATGTCTAGGGGGAAAGAAAGGAGGAAAAGGAGAAAAGAAAGAAGGATGGCTGGGTCACTTAGTTATAATTATGCTATTTTTAGACCTGAGGAAAAGGAAGGAGATCTTTCTAACATAATCTAGGCTACTTGGATTAAAGAAATGTATGTATGCGTAATTCACCCTGCCCCAATGAGAAAGACACGTGAGGCTTAGTCGTATTTGATTGCTCAGCGTCACCTAAGTGTAGAAAGGGTGGGGCCTCACATACATTGCCAGTGTGCAATCTCTGTGTTTGTTAGTGCGAGACAAAGGTTAGGGGACAACACATGGGAGGACACAGGGACAAAGACAGTAGGAAAGCCTGCCTACTCTGTTTTTATATGGTTATGTGTTTTCCTCCATTACTCAAGCCATTTGCTTCAACCTCCAAATTACTATTAGTGTCAACTCTCTTTCCTAAATGTCTCTTTGGTTGTATTTGACCAGAACTTTTACGCCCAAATGGAGCCATGAGAAAAGAAAATTCCTTTGAACATCTGCGCCTAGCTCTGATATTCTGGCAGTGTCATCATTCACTCTGTGATAAAGCAATCTCCCTCTTCCTTTTCTCTCCCCTCCTCCTCCTCCTCCTTTTCTTCCTGCTCTTCCTCTTCCTCCTCCTCTTCCTCTTCCTCCTTCTCCCCCTCCTTCTCCCCCTCCTTCTCCTCCTCCTCCCCCCTCCTCCTCCTCTCTCCTCTGTCTGTCTGCCTTCTCCTCTCCTCTCTTCTATCTCAGAATGATTTTTACAGTTGAATAATACAGCATTTTAAAGTCAAGTTCATTATCCATGTATCGTATACACGAGATGTAATGCATATATAGTAAAATCATAAATGTAACGCATTTATTTTACACATCATGTACTCTGTATCCACGTCTCTATATACATGTGTATATATGTAGAAAAATATGGATAGATATAGAAAAAGAGAGACTATAGGAATAAGAAAGGTGGAGCATCTTCGCCTAGCTTGGGGTTTTTGTCCCTGTTTGTGTGCTACCTTTACCTAACTCAACAAATTCAAGGTTTTTGCTTCTTGATTGCAGGAAATTTATCTTCTCTTTGGGACAAAATCACCCCATTTCTTACTTGTGCTAAACTCTTCCCATGGTAAGTCTCTGTACAGACCAGTAGTTCTCAACCGTCCTGATGCTGTGATCCTTCAACACAGTTCCTCATGTTGTGGTGACCCGCAAGCATAAAACTATTTTGTTGCTGTTTCATAAGCATAATTTTGGCATTATTATGAATCATAATGTAAATATCTTATATCCAGGATATAAGACCCCTGTGAAAGGGTGTTTCCACCAAGAACCTCCAGTATAGATGATGATCTCCAGCATCCCGCTCTTACTCAGCTTACACAGTTCTTTCTTACCTTTTCCCTTTTGTTGTTATCTCTTTATTCTTTGGGGAACTACTTTAAGGCACTAGGACAAAAAATTTAGGGTTTCATAAACAACCACCTCCATGGTGTTCTACTGGTTGACCATATATGTCCAAAGCTACTCATCAGAATCTGTGCATTTTGTTGCAGCAAACAGAGAGCTTGCTCTACATGGCATCATTTTAATCTATTTCACACCTTTATATTTCCATCTTTACCACCCCAGACCTCTGAAGGATATCATAAAATGGCAGGTCCTGGAGAGGTGATGTGTACTCAACTGCTGTCCCTTCTGAGCATCTTTCTATAGTCTCCAACAGAGATCCAGACAACCCACCATAAAGAGAAACTCCTTGGTAAATCACGTGGGATTTCACAAATGTGCAAAGTTGGCAACACCAAACTTTTTTTTAAAAAGCACTTTTGTGACAAAACTCATAGCTTCTTGGACAAACACTTAACAGATGAGGCTCCATCTGTAAGGTCCCCTATCTCCTGTATAATGCTCGTGGTAGTGACAAGGTACCAACTTCCTGAGCCTGTGAACATTGCCTTTTCTGAAGAGCATCAGTATGGTCTCCAACACCATCAGCCCAATGCCGCCGTTCCCTTTTTCATGCATTTTCAGAAGAATTACCTGTAGTGTCTTCTGTTCCATGACGGTGTTATCTCGAGAATGCGTTCTGTTGGTGTCCCGGGCCTTGAGGGGTCGGTAGACACAGCACACGGTGAAACAGACCATGTACAAGATGTAGAGAGCACCCAGGAGGTAGAAGTAAGGCCGTCCATACTTCCTCCACTTTAGGCTCACCAGCTCTCTCACCGGGGTCTGTTCTAGAATTTGGCGAGCCTGTAGGAAAGGGGACAGCACAGAATGAACATGGGGAGCGGAGTTGAGTTTCGAATTGCATTCCAGATGACAGGGCGTCATCCGGGCACTCAGTTCCTTGACAGGCAACTAGTTAATTTCCATTACATGCTAGGTTTGCACTCGTGTTACGGAGAAAGTATTTACGGTGGTAAACGTTGTGCATACCGCAGCAACACAGCGGCTATACTAGATCAGTAGTAGCCCTGGTGACTAAAGGGACCTTTAAGCAAGACCATTCCACGAATAGCAGCAGTCACTAAGAAAGGAACGTCGGAGAAGTCACTGCCCTTTTTGCAGGTAAGATATGCTTGGGACTATGAGAGCATCTGCTGAGATCAGTAGACAGAAATTGCATGAGAGAAATAAACAACAACAAAGATCACTGTGTAGATGTATTGTAGATGTCACAGTAGGGAGGTTTTATTTTTGTTTTTTTTTTTTTTTCTATATGTAATAGAAAACAGTGGGAATTCCAAGCAAGAAAACAGTTCAGTTTGCATTAGAAATGCGGTTAGACCGGCAAAAAGTGGTTCAAAAGACAGCAGGATGTGGCAACAGTCTAAGCCAACCGGATGTTACTCTGAAAGGAGGAAACAGCAAGACACAAATGACGGACCATCGTGGATGGGATAAAGCGTCTGAAAACCCAGGAAGAGGCAAATTCAAAGTAAAAAGCAGAAAGGATTAGGCAGAAAAAAACCATTCCCTTGAGGTGGAGGGAGAAAAAGACAGTTTCCAGATATGCTGAACAATCCAGGGAGAAAGTTGAAGGAGTCCCCAGCCAGAGACACTATTTTCACCATAAAATAGAAAACTCTTGTTCTTCAGATGGAACTAAGAGTGCCAACTGCAAGAAACATAAGCAGTATCAAGACAGGCGGGGTTAAAGAAAGGTAGCTGGTACAGGATGTGTAAAACCCACGGGAGAATGCAGGTGGTTAATATTGTACGTCAAAGAGGGGGGTGTGGGTGGTTGCAGAATCTACATAGTCTGTGGGGGTTTGTAGTCCTAAGAAACCCTGCTCAAGCTTTAGGTGTTTCCAGGAGTGCTCCAGAACCATACAAAGTGGCTGTTCAATTTTTCTCTTCGGCTCATTAGTTATAATTTTCCATGCTTCGTGGCTCTAGGAAATTGTCTCACAGCAGACAGTCAACAGAAAGTCAGTCTGACCAATAGCTATAGGTTCCTGAAGATGGGGCCTTTTTTTCCACTCCAGACTCTTCCTTGCAGTCCACTCAGTGGTTAGTCTGAACTGCCTTTATGTAGTTCCATCTCTGGATAGTCTGATGCAAAACTCGTGGCTTTGTCGTTGCTTGTTTGGGGCTTTTTGCTTGTTTTCCCTCTTCCCAGTGACACACAACTCCTTCTAGAGGCCCCGGGTGCAGGGTCCATCCTCTGTGAGGGCTCCTGGATTGTCAAGCATGTCTGGAAACTCTTCCTCCCTCCACCCTCAAAGGTCAAGACATTTCCTGCCTACGGCTAACCCTTCCTGCTTCGTATCTGCCTCTTCCTGGTTCCCCAGCTGCCTCGCCATCTCATCCATTCTCTTCTCTCCTTTGCATCTGGCTGTAGGTGTGTCTCACCACGCACACACGCCAAATCGCTCCCACCTCCATTTCGCTGCCCCTGTGCACAGTGCGCGCCCTCACCATGGAACAGGTCAGACCCGACTGCAAGTTTTGAGAACATCGACCAAAAATTGAAGAAACTGGCTAGAAATATATATATGTGGTTTTTTTAACCTCTTATTTGTCCCTTTGGTTCCTTCTGTATTGTCTGGGGCAAAGCACATATTTAATAGGCTAAATGATGGGAGAGAGGAATGGAAGGAAGGAAGGAAGGAAGGAAAGAGGAGGGGAGGAGATAAGGAAGAAAAGAAGGAAGGAAAGTGATTCCAAGTCAGAAGAGTCTTCATCTGAAAGGTTAAAATACGATAAATAAAATGAGAGTAGAAAGAGGTCTCAGAAGATGAGTGTTGGATACTATTTGTATTTATGGAAACTATTTTCTCCTATCTACTGTCAGGCTGTGACATATCTTGGGATCACGGTGTCTCAGCATATGGAAAAGCAAACAGGGTCTCAACGTTGGTGTTTCTCACATGGGGGCTCTGGACCCGTATGACATCTATACCTCTTTCTTCTTGGAGGAAACCACAAGCTCCAGAAAGGACAACTCCTCGCCCCAGGAGTCAATCTCTGTGATATCATAGAGGGACGATGTCAGTGGCCCACAGGACCACTGGATATGCTTCCGTTTCTGCATCAGGTGTTGGAACATCTGGAGGAGCGAGCAAGGATTTGAATGGTGAGCGTGTTGGAAGGTGGTCTAGGAAACACCTGTGGACCAAGTCAATTACCCATGCTAGTGATGGGGTAGGAAGGGAAAGTCATTAAAGACACCTTAGGGCACAAATCTCACCACAATATTGCCTTCCACTCCAGCCAGCTTGAAGGGGGTGAGTCCCTGGTTGTTGGGCACGAGTTCCAGGGACTTCAGGTGGTCTCCCCCGTCATAGGACAGCAGCAGGTTGTACATCTGGCAGGCAAAGGTTTTGTTGGGCTGCAAGATGAGTATGTGCAGTACTGTATTTCCTGGGGGAAGACAGATGCTGTCATCGGGTTCCCTGATGATTCACTCCCTGTCCCAATGTCCTCTCTGTCCCCTAAGCCCCCCCACATGCATGCATGCTTGTGTGTGTGCACGAGTGCGCACACACACACACACACACTCTCTCTCAGAGCGTCCAGCACTTTCTCTAAATTCCAGCTCCTACCCAGAGAGTCCTGAGCCCGGATGTCAGCTCCATGTTCAATGAGCAGCCTGACAATCTCCTCACTGCCCACACAGGCAGCAAAGGACAGAGGGTGCTCTCCTGTGGACACAAGGAGGTATGTGACAGGACAGCAGGATCAGGAGAGGAGAGGGACCTCTGCCCTTCAGCCCAACAACTGCCTCCTCCTCCCACGTCTCAGCTTGTGGCTTGGGATCATGCACCCGGTGGAATCCAAGGAAAGGCGTGTTGTGCAGGGAATTGGCCTCAGGTTCTAAGTCCTAGAAGGACTGCCCCATCCCAGCTTCTCAAAAGATGGAACCAAGGAAAGGCTCCTCCTTAGTGTCTCCTTCTTTTTGCCCAGGCCAGTTCTCAACCTTCCCCTTCTCTGGTCCTGGCTCTGGATCTCACCATAGTAGATGAGGTTGTGGGGACTGCGGTGGAAGGCAGACCCCGTAGCTCTGGCGGAGACACTGGCCCCTCGGGCAAGCAAGGCGCAGACGAGGTTCACATTCTGGTTCATGACTGCGATGTGTAGTGCAGTCTGACCTGGCCCAGAGAGAGCTGTGAGTCACAGTTCTGTCTGGGGAACAATACCCCCAAGCCCTTTACAGACACCAGGGCACTTCTCACACAGTTCTGCCGTAGGCTGCAGAGTAGCCAGGGACCAAGGACAGTTACTCCCTCGGGCTCCTGGATCAGTATATCTCCTTCCTTCATTTGTTGAGGGGTTGCTATACATATAATCAGTCTAGTGTTGTAGAGATAATAAGAGAGAAGAGAGGAGGGGGGGGGGAGGGAGGGAGAGAGGGAGGGAGAGGGGGTAGAACACACTAGGGAGCTGTGGCCTGAGAAACCCTGAGAAAACTAAAGGGAAATACATAAAACAGCTAAAAGGGAGCCATGGAGGCTAAAATTTATCTCAACACATGGAGAACCTCCACCTCTTCCCCGAGCCCACCCTACACAGATGCGCTTTAGAAATGGTAGACCACCCACCCACACCTGTTTCGGCTTTGAACTCTTGTGAGACCTCCTCACCTACAAATGGCTCACACAGTGTGGGTTCTGTGACCAGGTACGGAGCAGCCTCCATCAGCATGACAGCAGCATCCAGGTTGTCATAGAGGGCCGCTACATGCAGTGCTGTCTGGCCCAGGGCTGCTGGAATGAAACAAGGCAAGAACACCAAACCCTTGCCAGTCTCTGCCAGGGAAGACGCTCCCATCTCCAGAAGCACCCCAGCACCCTCTCCAAGTAGCCCTTTCCAAAGCACCTCTCTATCCCTGTGGTTCGGGTCTCACCTCTTTGTCGGAAGTCACAGTTCTGGTCAAACTGAAGTCTCTTAAGTGTACACAGATCATTTTCCTTAGCTGCTCTAAGCAGTGGAGACTCCCGTATACTGGAGGAAAATGAGTAGGAGTCCATTAGGGACCATCACAGAGAGCCCATGGTCAGAGGAGACAGAGTCATTCTCTGATATGGTCACTACTCGCGGAGTACCCAGCAACAAATCAACTTTGTCACTCTTGAGTTATTTGTTGGACTCAAGGGATGAGAGGACACAGGGGCAAGAGCTTATTTTGAGGCCATTCTGACTGCCCTTGTGGCTCTTCTCACGTTAATTCCTCCCAGAAATGAAGGCTTGTATGTGGCCTGAGTCTTAGCTGTAAGTTGGTAAATAGGACAGCTCTTCACTTGTTGAAGACATTGAACTTAGGACACAGTTCTCAGATTATTCAAGCTGCATTTAACCAGAAAGCCTCTTGCTTAGAGTCTGTCTTCCATAGTACTAGAAAGTAGTATGCAAGCTGCCAGCAGACAAAACCAATCAATAGTCCTATCCAACTGGGACATCTACGAACCACAACATTGACCAGCATGGCAAGTATTCCTCAGGTGCAATCACGACACGCCTATCTTTGCGGTAACCAACAGCTGTCTAATTGGACTTAAAGTCCAATCAACAGGAAGGAAATCATGCCTGTAACTAGGAACATAGCCAACTACATGGAGCTAGTGAGGTCACGGGTCTTAGAAGAGAACCAACTATCATCACTTTACTAGATCAGCATAAATCCTTAGCAACACTCTAATATTTATACACACAGATAAGCATGGTTCTCAGCTCTCATTAAGGATTTTCTTCCCAGCAAATAGAGACCTTCTCAGAAAACCACGACTGAACACCAGGCACAGATCGATGGAACATGGGGATACAAGCCCCGTGAATATACCTTCAACACAGCTCCTGCTCAGGAGCAGCAGAAGAGAAGGCCGAGAGATTGTAAGAACCAGGAAGCCTGCTGTGAGACTGTGTCTTTGATAAAAGGCTGCCTAAACAAGACCTGAATAGTGACAGCATCAATGGACATGTTAACTTGAAATAGAGAAAATATCAGAGTCCTACCCTTAGACAAAGAATGATAGGCAATTCATGACTGCTGGGAGAGGGAGAACCAGCCTATCCCAGAGGTTAGCTCCTTAAATGCTTGTCTCGTACACCCTGGTTAACCTGAACTCATTCACGCACAAGCAATGAAAGTGTACTCAGCAAGCTGCATTCATATTTTTGCAAACATATGTGTGCTTGTGTGTGTGTGTGTGTGTGTGTGTAAAACAATAATAATCAAAGGAATGGAGGCCATCTGTTGGGGGTAGGCATGGAAAAGGCTGGAGGGAGGAAAGGGAAGAGAAAAAATGATGTAATTATATTTTAATGGAAAACATACTGAATAAAAGTAATTAATAAATTAAAAACAAAACATAAGGAATAGTTCCTGAGGAGGGAGAGTCTGGGGCCTGAAGTGCGTTTCAGAGCATCCTTGTGGGAAATGAAAAGAGGCCTGCTGGGTTTCATCTGAGTCACACACAAGACTGTCAGGTGCTTGGAAGGCAGACGAAAAGGAGGAGGCATTTCTGTCAGCTCCCCAGGCTCCCAGACCAGCTAGACCTGCTCTCCGGCCAAGTGGAATTTGGTCATCAGACACTGCCGGACTTGGCCTGGCCTTTAGACCTTACAAATTGTGTGACATTGGTCACCTAAGATTCAATGGTTGTTAAAAGCTGAGCCCTGGACTCTCGCGTTTGTCCCCACTCAAGTTCTCGCCACTGCATTGGGTTGTGTAAATGCCTTTCTCAGCTGGGAACAGAGTTTGGGGTGCCTATAAGCCATACCTTCCCCCCCATACTTAAACCTTAGACTTAAGACTCTGGGTTCTTTGTTTTCAACCAAAGAGAAATGAGTACCAGGATTCTCAGCTGCTTGAGACGTTTCTCCTACAAATTCCCCTCCGTTAATCTTTGATTTTGACTTTGCCTGGATATAAATGGAACAGGACATAAAGCCGAAGCCATCTTTCTAGACAATTTAGTTTAGGCTCCAAAGGTAAACACCAGTCTAGCAATTTGGGGGCTGTAGGGAAAGCAGAGGACATAGACTAATGACTATTTTCCTTTTGATGTCTCTCAGTCCTTGATTCTTCTCCAATGTCTCCAGGGAGAAAGGTCTTTATACTTAAAGAACCATTTTATTCCACATAATGCTCCCAGGAGGAACTTACGGAGCCAGACCCTACCCTAGCTCATCTAAGTTCTTGGTCCCAGCTGAGCCTTGGGGCCATGACCAGCCCAGAGAGGCTAGGACTGGATTCCAGAATTTCTTCTCTGTTTTGAGGCTACTATAAAAAGCTCTGTCCATCCTAACCCTTGACCCCACCGCACCTTTGCTGAGGAAAGGTCTAGAAGCCAAATGAGCCCAGGCTACCCTAGTCCCACACTAATGCAAGGCTCGGAGAAGCCAAAGTTTCCATTGCATAACCAGGGGAGGAGCTGTGTTTATAAGCAGAGTCCCTGTAGAAGGGACTCGGTGTGAAAGATAAAGGCAAGCCTTGCGTGTTCACAACCACTGAAACTTTTCAAAAGAGGATGCACCGGACAGGACACCGTCACGCACAGGGCAGGCATTCTGCAGTCAGCTCTATCTACATTCCAGCCAGCTCTTAAGGGGAGGCAAATCCTGCAAACTGACACAGGAGCTCACCTGAGGGAGGGTCTCTGGTCCTTTTTTGCCTGGAAAGCTTTTCCTACTTCTGAACCTCAGAGCTCATTCCTGGAATGATCTATCTGGAAATGGATCAGCCACCCTGGGACTAACGGCCTTCAGCTATCTCCCTGATCTCTGGCGAGCCTGACGCATTAAAGGACAGAAATTGAACTCAGCACTCCAGCCTCACCTGAGAGGCCTCCCCCAAGCCGGTCACCTCCAAGCATCACACAAATAAATAATAAAGCCCTCCTCCCCCCTCTCCCAGGCAATCGGGTTTTCACTCTTCCCGATGACAGCTCCTTGATCACTCTTTCATCAAGTCCCCTAAACAAACGATACTTCAAAATCTGTAAGATTTGATCTCCTCCGCCATGAAACCTACTCCCCGGCAGCCTTCTCTTGCTTGTCCTCTCTAGCAATCCGACCGTCTCCTACCTTCAGATCCATAGTCTGAGTCTCTGTATATACTAAGCCATACTTTCTACGACCACTGCCATGGGCTGGCTGGAGTGCTATGCCAGCTAGGTTGGAAGGGAGAGATTGAGTGCTGCTTCCGGGGGGGGGGGTGGGAGATCAGGTTGCGTATGTACACACGGGGCACGAGAATCTGTGAGGCGGTGAGGGACCCTCAGGAGCCCTACCTCTTCTGCTGCAGCATGTGAAGCTGATCCAAGTGCTGGTCCCAGTCTTCCTCTCTGACACAACAGCCGAGAAGTTTCTGGAGCTGGATCCAAGGCCTTTTTGCCACCATGTCTTCTTGCAAGCGCGCGCCCCTTGTGCCTGTCTGATGAAGGGAGCCAGTCTGGGAGGGCCTCAGCTGAGGAGGCTCCCCTGCTGGGCCGATACCTAGGCGCAGGTATCTCCTGCGTCCGCGACGGGCGGCTGTGGGGTGAAAGTGTGTGGCATGTGCACGAACAACTAGCCAAGCCTCGCTGGGAGAAGGGGAGGAGACCTTCTCATAGCTGAGCCTGGGGGCACAAAACAGTCTGGAGTAAGGAGCTGGGAGGGAAGGGAACCTCCTAGGTCACACAGAAGTGGGCTGGACAAGTGGGAGTGGGAGAGGCTAAGAGGTTGTGCCAAGGAATTTGGAGAAGGAGTGAGGCTAGACAGTCTTGGAGGTGAAGCAGGTACCCTGGGATGCAGATCTTGGGAGACTCCTGGGGGCTTCTGGGTGACTCCTGATGTTGGGGCAGCAGGAATTGAGAACGAGCAGAGGGCAGAGAAATCGTGGGGCACTTTCGGGACGTGAGATAGCAGGAGGAATGGGCTATGATAAGGCAGCGTTACTTTATTAAAGTGTTTTGCACTGGCCTTCTTTCGGTTTTTAGGGAAGAAATGTCCACGTTACTCAATGTACTCCTGCGATGGACCTGTGCGGTCAGCTGAAATCAGACAAGAGTTGTTTCTTAATGGGAAGACACCGAACCGAGAGGGAGTGCGCCCTCTCAATCCCTGGGCTGCAGACAAAGCTGAAACGGTCTTTGAAGATGGGGGTCTTAGCTCCCAGTTCATTGCTCTCCATTTTCTACTTCGTTGGAAACTCTTGAGAGACTCGGGAAGGATATGAGAGGCTTGAGTGGGATAGACTTGAGAACCTCCCTTAGAAAGACTTGGGTTCTTGGGACTGCCCCCTTTCTTTTGACACTAAGCAGGAAAGCTCCGATCCAGAGAGAAAAAACAAAAAAACCAAAAAAACAAACAAACCTCCAGAGCAGGGCAAGGAAAGGAACCACGGAAAGGTAGAAGAGGGGCTGAGACATGGAGAAACTATTCTTACCCAGGGAGTGGGTAGGGTCACCTTGTGGGGCATTTTTATGCCTCACTTGGGGGTTGGGGCAGTGTGGGTGCTAATGGTCTCTGAAACCTGTGGATTTCCAGTCTAAGGAGATGGAGGGAGCGATAAGATTGAGGTTGGGGTTACAGATGCCCCTGATAAGTAGGAAGGGAGCAGGTCATGAAGGGTGCATTTGCCAAGGAAACACTAAGCCCATAAAGCTAACCCTTGAGGGGGTGAGGGGGAAGGGCTGTGTGGAAGAGTCTGGCTCAGTCAGGGACACGCAGAGCAGGTGCAGTCACCAAGGACACTGGCCGTAGGTCCCTAAAGGAAGAGAGGGAGCAACCACCCACAGGTCCTCAAGCTTCTATCGCCCGAACGAGGTTCTTCAGTGGGAGGGCTACAAATAAGTAACTTGGGCGGGAACCACGTTGTCCCTTGTCTCATCTCCATCCACCTTAGTAGGTGAAATAATTTTTTAAAAAATCTTTCCTCCTTCGGCTTTTCTCTCTGCCGTTCCCTCCTTCTGATAATAGTCTACACTGTCATGTTGACCCTTCTTGTCTTCTCTTTCTCCCTGATGCTCCTGCAGCCTTCAGCATCAGCCTCTCTTCCGGATGGCAGCTCCCCCAGCAGGGAAGTAGCAGCTCAGCAGCAGGCAGGCAGGCAGGCGCTCCACCTCATCTGCTGAGGGCAGGGTGTGCCTCCCACCTGCTCACAAGTGTCTAAGAGGAGGAGATAAGCACACATCTGGATACCACGTTAACGGCAGTTATCATTAGGTGGTGGAATTGTTGGGGGCCTTTTTTAATCCCCCTGTACGTTTATGCATTTTATACCTGGGAAGAACAGAAACACTAAGGAATTACTGGTGTCCCACAGTTCACTTCTCCTAAGGCTAGGAGTCAGGGAGATGAATTGGTAAAGAGGTTAGAACTCATTGGTAACGAGCCTGCCCCTCCCAACCACTGCCCTCCCCATTCATGCCTACAGAGCTGTAGGCTTCTCTACGGTAAGCACACCAGAGAACTGAGAAGCCCCTCCTCCAGAATAGCCGGGGGAGATGCGTGATTTCATTTTTTCCATTCACTCATCATTCTCCGGATCTGCAGGTCAATGGGTACAAAGTTGGGGTAGGTGAGGTCACTGCACTTTTACACCTTTATGCCACCACCATAAAGTGCCCATCTATGTCACTCCCCAGGCTCCTGTCAGCTGGTTCAGCACTCAAGGAAGTAAGAACCGAGGTCTGGCAGGTTCCATGTGAGTGTACCTGCTAACATGGTTCCCTCCCTGGGAAGGAGTTTCACCTCTCATCTCATCTTCTCATATCTCCAGTCCTTTCCTGGAGAAAAGCATGTGTTCATGTCCATACTGTGGTACCCGTGTTTGCATACAGCGTTCCAGGCAACGAGGGCGTGGAGGAAAGTGACAACGGATGAACATTTCCTGTCTCTGCACCCAGTTGGCTGCTCATAGCCTGTGTCTGTTTTTCTTTTTCTGACAAAGACATTTGTACCGCATTCCCTACCCACTACTCCCGGAGTCCCCTCTGCCAGCTCTCCAACAGGCCCCCTGTGGAGGGGACAGGCATGGGGCAGGTTCTCGCCAGTTCCCTTACTTGGGGTTGTTGACTCCTCGCCGCATGACCTTCTCTCTAAGGACTCCCACCCATCTACCAAGCAAGGACACATTAGACACCTTTGAAACAGCAAGGACGTACAAAGTAAGAGAAGGTATTTCAGCCCAGATGCACAAAAGGACAAAGTCCAAGAATGAAGAAAAGGAAAAACAAAAAAGAATACCCTCTACTCAGACAAGACAACCATCCCTTTTCATCAATTTCTTCATGTTTTTTTCTTTTCTTCCTTTCTGTATTTATTTGTTGTAGTGCTGGAGATTGAACTCAGGCTCTTGTCCACGCCAAACATTTTGCCACTGAGCTACTTCTCTAGTACCTTTTTAAAAGTGAACTTTTGTGAGACAGGGCCCCCCTGGGTTTTCTCAAACTTGACTGGCGGTCACTCTGTAACACAGGCAACCCTTGAACTTAGGATTGTCCTGCTGCTCCCTTCCCCTCTGAAGTAACTGGAAGCACAGGACTGTACCACCAGCCTAACTCAGCCTCTATCTCTAGGCACCTCTAGGTGCTTGCTGTGCATGAAGTTCCATCTCTGTCTCGTCTGTCTGTCTTACAGGGTGTGTGTACTGCCTCATCTGTCCCTAATACCCTAGTTCTTACTCCCAGTTTTCAACAGGCTTAGAGTGTCCTGAAGGACACCAGGCGCACGTGTGGACATGAGGGTACACCGGTGTGTAGAACGTCAGTAGCCCCATCCGTGCCAACTGCTTTGCCCAGAGAGGAGCTGCCTGGCATTACAGGCCGGTGTCACATTTAGACTCAGAAGTGCTACTGGAGACCTGTGCTTTGCCTGCTGATGGCTGTGATCCTGCATGAAGGCTGTGCCTTCCCAGGGAGCCTGCTTTTCTCCTCTAAGCAGTGACTGTGAGGATGCTGTCGCTTTGAAGCACGTGTGGCTATGCAGACCCAGTGGCGTAACAGCTGTGATGGCACTTGGCAAATTCTGGAACCTTTTTGGGGTTTTGGCCTACAAGGGTGACTCAGACGCCCGTCCTGGGAGCTTCTGCCGTTTTCCACCCTTCTGTCTGGACACGGAATGGGCTACAATGACCTAGAATGTGGGTTAGACCCACGGCAGTGATGTCACAGAACACACAGTGTTAGAGGCCCTATGGAAGAGAAGAAGGAAAAGCGAAGCTGGCATGGAGTAAGGGCCCAGACAGGGACAGGGTGGTGCCCGCTGGGGCCTGGGGCCTGGGCCCGAGGCAGCAGGCGCAGGCGAGAGGAGGCCCGTGACTTCCAGGTTCTCCTAGCTCCACAGGGCAGCGTTCCTGACAGCTGTGCTGCTGCTGCTGCTGCTGCAAGTCAAGAGGGTGAAGACTCTGAAAGGCGGCACAAGCCTGGATGATGGCGGGAGTCAGAAAGAGAAAGTGCTCTCTGTAGGTGGGTAGAGGAGAGAGCAGGGAGTATGGGGGAGGCTTGGACTGAATGCAGCTCTAGCAGCCGGCTAAGCCAGGATCAACGGGGAATGGGCTTGGGTTTTCAAACGGGATAACTCATGTGCTCTCTCACCGCAGTACGAAACCACAGCTGCAGGTAAGAATGTCTGGCTTTAGAAAGGCTCCCAGTCAGGTGCAGCATGGGCTAGCTGCCATTGTCCAAAGCTGCCAAGGAAGGAGAACGAGTATTTCACCTAAAAGGGGAGCGGGGGTCTCTGCCTTCTCATCTGAAGGTGCCTCTCACTCCCCAGATAGTGCCACGCTTTGGAGGCGGGGACTGGTATGAGGAGTGGAGGTTGTGTGTGCTTGGGATGGGGCTATGGTTGAAGTGGGATCGGAAGAGCCTTCTAACGAGAGCGCTCTCTTTCTAGCCAAGGCCGATGTTACGGCTGGCGATTGGCAGCCCTCACTTGTCTCTGGACCCTTGACCATGGGTCCCATTGTGGGGCAGACCAGAACCGAGATTGGGGCTGCCCCTCCTCTGTTCCTCTTTCATGTTCCAGACCAGGGCCAAGAGCAGTTTGAAGAACACTTTATGGCTTCATCAGTCGGGGAGCTGCTGCAGGTGATAGATATGGCCCAGCAAGAAGAAGATGCAATCGCCCAGGCAGCAACTCTCTGGGACCACCTCTTTGATCTAGCCTTCTGCTTCAACCTGGCCAGCATGGTGTTTTTTTTATGAGAGACTTTGAGGTGGAGGCAGTCGTCTGGGTCCTGCACGAGGATGTGGACGTCTACCTCCCCTTCACGATCGCCTACTGACCTCCTCTGCCCAGATGCCTCCTCAGAAGGCATACCTCATCCCTCTTGACTGAGAAGCACCTGGCCTTAGGGTGCAGCTGCAGACCTTTCCCAACTCTCGTTGGGCACCAGGTGATTGCCACCCCAACCCAGAATTTCATGTCCCAGGGCCAAAGACACCAGACCCACACCCTTCTAACGCTTAAGATTCCACTGAAACAGCAAGATTAGAGGGAGGAGACAGTGACAATAAAATAGCACTAGCAATAAAACCCTGAAAACGGTTGCCAGTGGCTCTCTGGTTCTCTCATCGGTGTGTTGAACCGTGTGGACTTTTGTCTACTTCATGACCTTCCGACCCACCATCCCAGCAGAACTTTTCCAGTGTCCGCAAAGCCTTCCTTGGCACTTCCCCCACCATCCCAGCAGAACTGCCGCTGATTTTCCAGCGCCAAGGACTAGGCATTCGGGGTGACAGAGTGGGCTGGGGAGAGGATTCTGAGTTAAGAACGACAGCTGCGGAAGCATAAGGAACTGGGTCTAGGTCCCCAGGACTCACTCACATCCAGATGCAGTCATCCGCATGAGTCATCTCTTGGGAGATTACACAAGATAATTACCCTTACAGTAAGACACCCCTACGGTGAGGCAGACCCAGATGGGAGGAAGAGACAGGAAGGTTCCCTATGAGCTGGAGGAGCAGCCAGCCTGGTATACACACCGGCACATACGCCTGTCTAAAAACAGCGAAGACGGCAAGAACTGGTCCTCAGCTTCATCCTCTGACCTCCACACGTGAGCTGTAGCATGCATGTGTCCACGGTATACACACATGTGCGTGCACGCACACACACACACACGTGCACACATACACACACACACACGCACACACACGTGCACACATGCACACACGTATGCACACACACGTATGCACACACATGCGTGCGCGCACACACATGTGCACACATGCACACATGCACACATGCACACATGCACACACACGCATGCATGCACACATGCACACTGAAAAAAATAAGAGAGATAGCAATAGAAAAAGCTACATACACGCCTTTAATTTTGGAACGAAAAGAAGGAAGACGTTAGTTCTGACTTCGAGGATGGGGCCAAGTATCCAGGCATCTGCATCTCAGTCTCTTTGGTAGCCAAGTTACCAGAGTTTGCAGCGGGCGGAAGGGTTCAGAAGGGTACCACGCGGACAATGGAAATGTTTAGCAAAGTCTGGGAAATTGCTGAGGGGCCCATGGACTCGAAGGATGGGAAGGCTGTAAGTGTCCTGAGGGTCTTGTGAGCTCAACTCCCTACACATCACCTGAGGAAAAAGATCGCCAAAGAGGGGTAAGGAGGAGAGAAAGTCTCATAGGGTCACAGAGGCAGGTTGGAGACAAGGACTAGGAGATCCCTGTACAGCACAGAATAAGGGGCAGGGTGGACAGGGGCCACATGGAGAACTTGTATGTGTAAATCATTCAATATGGCACTAGCACTGTTGGGGAAAAACTTGGCTGTGTAAAGCTGCCATTTGCAAGGGACTGACGTGGGGTTTAGTGGTGGAGTTCTGTAAGTGAGTCATTGGTGTGTGGAAGAATTGCGGGCCATGCTCTTGACAGAGCACAAAGTCCCGAAAGGACTGATACCAGTTTGGAACTAGTCCCAGAACAGAGGTCTCTGAGTCATGTGGTCACCTGTCCAGCTCCTTTTAAAAATAGTCTGTATTTCTGAAGCATGAGAAAGAAGGAACAACAGGTTTATCTCATAGAGGGACTTGGAAGAGGAGAGGCTTTTCTTTTGGGGGTTGGGTGGGGAGCCAGTCCCTGAATTTGATTAAAGAACGTGTAATAATCTAAAGGATGGCTCTGAAGGGACAAAGGAGAGAAGTTAAAAGTGGGGATCCATGACAGTGGACTTGTGAGTATGAAGCAGTGTAGCACGGTGCAAACTTCCTTCTAGCGACAGTGACTGGGTTCTGGAACTGGCACAAAGCAAGCGTAGAGAGAAGGAGTAGCTAGTCACCTGGGCGTAGCTCCGGAAGAAGAGCTGGTAGGGGCTGAGGTCCAGGTTGGCCAGGGTCATCTCCCCACTTTGCTCTGCTATCCTCTTGCTGTATGCCTAGATGTGGGCATGGGATAGAAACTTCTCTTAGGCTTCAGATCTGTAGGCACTTAGAAGTCTGATGCCAGCCAGCTACATAGCATAGAATTCCAACAGGTTCCTAAGCCTTCTTATCTATGTGATAATGTACTGATCTGAGGCAAGAAAAAAGGGTACTTACCAAGAGACCTACAGTTGTTCTAGAAGGTAGGGGACCTACAGGGTGGGAAGGGGGTCCCAAGTTGCCATCTGTCCAGTGGGAATGTGAACAGCAGAGAGCTATGCAACTGTTTTCATGAGGGATAGTATTAGGGAAACAGAAAGATAGGGACCTTGGCATACCTGGAATGCAATAGCCAGCCCTCCTGTATCTCCAGCATTTTCCAGGAGTGTGTGAGAACCATTGAAGGGGGCCATGTTGGGTAAGGGGAAGGCAGCATAATGGCGCTCCAGGCATAGAATTGCTTCCTGTAGGGTGTGGGTGTCACAGGCTGGGCAGCCCCCAGGGAGTACTGTTGAAAATGGAACCAGAGAACCAATTGGTGAAGAGCAGTAGAGCATGAGGGATACCAAAGCCTGACCTGGATCCCAGGAACATGGAGCTTTTCTCAGGCTGTCCCTCCTGGAACCTTTGAAGAACCTTCCCCTTCCCCCGTGCCTCCTTTGATACCTTCCCTAGTGATCCCCGTGGCCCTACCTCCCAATGGCTCATTACTCACAGAGCTGATAGAAGATACGCAGCAACTCGTGGGCCATGATGCTACCAGCAGCCCCAAAGTTCACGGCTCTAAGGAGATAAAAGCCTTGTTTTACTTGCAGAAACATTAAAAAAAATACTTATCCCCATTTTCCAACTTCAAGTCTCATCCATCCTGACACCTGTGAATTCCTCTTAAGGCCTCCGCCAAAAGACTCACCTTCAGAGAATGGTCCATACCTGGGGTAGCCAGGGTGGAAGAATGGAGGCTGAAGAAGGCCAGCTGGGAAGACCACCACATGGTCAGGTACTGAATAGTAGGCATTGACTCCCCAGGGAGATCCCGTCCATCTGCGTGAAGAGAAAAACGCAAACACAGCTCCATCAGTCACTGTCTTTGCAAGGCACATGCAATCTCTCCCAACCGTCGTCATCGTGGACTCTGTGAGTGATACCACTGTCCTTAGCCCATCTCTGGGATGGGGCGTCCGTTCCCATACCTGTGGTAGGGAAAGGGCTGCAAGAAGTGCCGAACCTTCCTGCCCTGGAGGGATCGTACGCAGCTCAGGAAAGACTGAAGGAAACTGGGACCAAGTTGTATCTGGGAAAAGAGGCAGCAGATCATTTAGATGCATGGAGACGAATACAAGTGGATCAAATGGATGGAGCTGGGCACATTTAAACCTAACCATGCAAGTTCTGAGATACACTCAGTCACATTTAAGCAGAAATTACTGTGTGATATCACCTCATACTGGTACAGAGTTTACATGAATCACCATGCAGGTAAACACAAGCACATTACAGAATGCATGTGTGTACATGCACGCAAGTACACATAAGAGCCCTAGAAAGTTCCAGGGTTTTTTGTTTGTTTGTTTGTTTTTGCCTGTAAAGATCCATTCCACACCAGGGAAAAGAAGAGGTTAGCTCAGAATTGCCCACAGAAAATGGAACGCTTTGCAGACTTGGGTCAGGGAAGTCAGAAGTCTAGGACATAAGGGACGCTGAGAGGAACAAAGACCCACATCACTATATTCCTCTTTGGCCAGCTCTGGCTTCAAGTCCCTTTTTGGGGCCCCCATCTCCACCTGCAGCTGGGTGAGCTGAAAAAAGACACAAAAGTTTGTAAGTGACAAGCATTCCCTCAGAAACCCCCAAGAGCCATTAAGACTGTCACCGCATAAGTACTCTGTGCCCTCTTCTCCTCCATCCCCATTTCTTGATCCAGGGATGAACTGTCTCTTAAATAGTCCCATACTGGCCTGTGATCCTAGCCTTGCCTTGTTCAGGGACTCTTCCAGGGTCTCCTCACTTATCCAGGAAAGTTTTTTGAGGTGTATGATGACAGCATCCTTGATCTCAGCAAATAATTCCATGGCCTGTGGGGATGAGGTCAGGAAAAAGACAATGATATCAGGACCAGCCTGAGTCCTGGCCCTGCTGCACTCTGTAAACAAATCTTGGCCCTAAAGAGCCTGCTGTAGCTGGGCGGTGGTGGCGCACGCCATTAATCCCAGTCCCCCGGGAGGCAGAGGCAGGCAGATCTCTGTGAGTTCGAGGCCGGCCTGGTCTACAAGAGCTAGTTCCAGGACAGTCTCCCAAGACACAGAGAAACCCTGTCTCGAAAAACCAAAAACCAACAACAACAAAAAGAGCCTGCTGGGCTCCAGAAGCTGTCAAAGAAAGGGAAAGAGCTCACAAGAGGGTCTGTTTCCCAGAGTACCACAAATATCCAGGATCTGAAGATCTGTGAGGCTACAAAAACAGTGCCAAGCACAGAGAGGGTAAAGACTTGGCTGCCCCAAGAAGGCGCCATAGTAACAGTGATTTGCCAGTGGGATATCGGAGGTCGATGGCTGTTTTCTTTGCGGGACAGAAAACTCTCTCAGGAAGCAGAGAGCATGGGAAGCTACTGCTTCCATCTTGGCTCTCAGGCCTTTGTGTTCATAGCCTCCCCCTTAGGACATATTTCCCATCTCCCACACTCCTTGGCTTCTCAGCAGACTGGAGTCTTCACCACCCAAATGCTGAGCCATACGTCTCGTTTCTCAGGCCCTCTCTGTCTTATGCACCCCCTTTCTTGGTAGAAGGAACTGGGTGCCAATGTCAGAAATGACTCCGGCTTCCAGCTGACTGGTTGCAAATCCTGACTGCTATTCGGTGTCTCCCTGATGTTAAGCAACTTGTTCAACTACTCTTGGCTCATCGCTCCCTTTCCTATTAAATCAGGAAAACAATTTCCATCAAAAAATATTACACATAAAAGGCTCATGAGTCCCCTTCTCACCAAGTCTCCCAGCTGTTCAGAACTTACTCATTAGCCTTCTGCGGCGATTACATCATCCTGATCTCATGGCATACCTAATGCGTCGTTCAAAACTCTTTTAGACAAACAGGGAGGAGCCTTAAAGGTCAAGGAGTTTGGATTTTTTTTCTGTTTTATGGTTGAAGAAACACAATACCAGGAAAGTCCAGTGAGGTATTCAAGCTAATTCATGTTGTGGACTCTTGCGTCCAGTGGCTGAACTGGACTTGCCCAGGAGACTGAGCAGGTCTCTGGGTTCCCTCTTAGATGAGTTTCTTTTCTGCCTGACTCCCACCTGGCACACCACAAAGAAGGGCACACACCACAGAATCAGGGCGAGGTATGATGGGAGGGAAGGGTGCAGGGTGGTAGGCAGGGGGAAGCTCTCACATACAGCACTTTGGATGCTGGGACCAAAGGCTTCCTGAACAAACAAAGCCGCCAGGGTAGGTTCAAAGAAGGTTCCTGTCTCTTCCACACACTTCATCCATCGTGGGTAGGCTGGCTGCAAAACACACACACACACACTGGAGTGAGTGAGTGAGACCTACCCAGGCCTCTGTTTTCATCTCGTTCCAACACCAACCCTGCATAGACCTTCCTCTCAAATGATGTTCTCTGACTTTTTTTAAATTTTTTGTTTCTCAGGAATGGGGAAATGTCTCAGGCATTAGAATGCCAGCTGCACAAATGTAAGGACTTGATTTCAGGACCCAAGAACCTACATAAGAAGTTAGGGTGGAATGGAGAAAAATGGACTCCTGAAATTGCCATCCAATCTATCTGAGTCAATGAGTTTTAGGTCCAGTGAGAGATACTGAGATGGATAAAAGAAAGATACCTGATGTCAATCTCAAGCCCCTATAAGCACACACAAGAGAATATACGCTACATATATATGCGTACACTACAAATGTAGACAACAAGAACACACACATACACACACATGCACACACACATGCACACACACACACACACACAAGATGTCAATCTCAGGCCCCTATAAGCACACACAAGAGAATATACACTACATATATATGCATACATTACAAATGTAGACAACAATAACACACACACACACGAGATGTCAATCTCAGGCCCCTATAAGCACACACAAGAGAATATACACTACATATATATGCATACGCTACAAATGTAGACAACAATAACACACACATACACACACACATGAGAGAGAGAGAGAGAGAGAGAGAGAGAGAGAGAGAGAGAGAGAGAGAGAGAGAGAGAGAGAGAGAGAGAGCAGTTCCATTTGTCATTTTCTCTGGCAACATCCACTGCTGCTCAGCAGAAAAAGGCATCCCTTCTCTCTGAAGACCCATGCTTGCTGCCTATTGGTATGAAAGCAAGACCCTTGGGAGGCATCCCTGTGAAGAATAAAAGACTCCTGAGGAGGTGAGGAGGAGTATCCCACTCGAGCCCCAACCCACCACAGAAATGGCCGAGGAGTTTCACCACACACTCCTTGCTATCAGAATCCCATTTGTAAAGTGTAAACTGAAAGGAGAAACTCCTTTTCTCCACACTACCCATGCCCCGTCTCAAAGTGTGTGCATTGTGTGTGTGTGTGTGTGAGAGAGAGAGAGAGAGAGAGAGAGAGGTTGTACAATCCCACAGATCAGTAAATGTGGGCTTTAGGTGATAGAGTGTCTGAGAGAGAGAGAGAGAGAGAGAGAGAGAGAGAGAGAGAGAGAGAGAGAGAGAGAGAGAAGAGAGAGGTTGTACAATCCCACAGATCAGTAAATGCGGGCTTTAGGTGATAGAGTGTCTGTGAGAGAGAAAGAGAGAGAGAGAGAGAGACAGAGAGAGAGAGAGAGGGAGAGAGGGAGAGAGAGGGAGAGATTGTACAATCCCACAGATCAGTAAATGTGGGCTTTAGGTGACAGAGTTTACTGCTAGAAGAGCTGAAATCAAAATGCTAAGTAGCAAGCACATCATTAGGACGAGAATCCTAGCTGTCCTTCCAGACAGCCAAGGGCAGAAGGTACTGCAGTGTTAAAGATAATGTGGAAATAGAGGGGAGAGAAATCTCTGGAACGTAAAGGATAAAAGAAATACTCAGAATGCAAGATAATCAACCTCAGTAGATTCGTTTCAGAGCAGTGAAAATGGTTGCATACATATCTCCCACAAACCGTGAATGGTAATTATATAAAGAAATGACAGAAATCAAGGAAGATTCCAAGAGTATGTAAGGACTTCGAGATAAAATTCTCTAATGAATTCTTAAAGGAATGTTTTTGAAGGCATGGAAAGTAATATGCAACTATTAAAGGCCAGGGTAGGATCACTGAGGACCAAAAATGTCAAAATAATAAAAAACAATTATCTATTTGAAGGGCTAATAAAGCTGGGTACACGACAGACTAGGAACTACAAACACAGATAAGAACCCTCTAAAAGCACAGATAAGGGCCCCACAGTAACACAAGAGTCTCATATCAGAAGCACAAGACACAGAGGGGCGGCACTAAACTGTAGAGTGAACCCAGCACAAACGACTAGCATCACTGAAAAAGGTTGGTCTAGGGCTGCCTGCTTACATAAACTCACACATGCATACCTATTAGAGGGCCACCTCCTGTTTTTTTTTTTATGTAAGTTACTCTAAATGCCAATGAAACCTGACTGTAAACTAAATTTGTCCTTAAAGACCTCTACAATACTTGCCTTAGACATAGCATCCAGCCTTTACTAATGCGGGCTACTAACTTAAATCCAGGGTACTACTTCAGGTAGACCAGCTGTACAAATAAGAGCAACCTCTGTTCTACCTTCCTCTCAAATTTGAGAATCACGTGATATAACTCCTTAAAAGCATTCTGCTTATTCTAAATTCCACTGGAATTCCTTTGGTACCACTCCGCAAATTCTATTGCCACCCTGAAGGCATTATCTTAGTATCAGGAAAGGATCTGGTTAAATCGCAAATCTCGCCCTAGTAAAATGAGACGAGATTGGTGTGGAATGGCAGTGCAGTGTGAGCGGACTCTTGTCTGGCTGAACCATAGCTAAACACCATGAGCGTGACTCACAACTGATTCAACCTTTCCTTACCTGCCCACGGGTAATCATAACTGCTCTTTCCCCTGCCTGCCTTGTCTTCATTCTGCGTGTTTCTTTTCTTCCCAACACCTTCCAACACACAGAGTTCATTATTTCTCTTTTTACTGAATTATAAATACCCAAAGGGAGGGATGCTTGCTTATTTCTTTCACTGCTACATAATGGGTGCCTAGAAGAGCATTTAAAAAAAATATTAGGTACTCAGACCTTAAGTGCTTGCTTTCTGCCCGTTGACCAGATACACTAGAACTATCTGCATTATGTATGCAGCATGGGGTTTCTATTATTTTTACCTAAAGATGTCTCTTTTTGGTAATGACAAATGTGTTTTTTTAAAGGTCTGGTTTTTCTCAATAAACCTTTAATGGTTTTTAAATTGTTTCATATCTGATCAAGTTGGGATTTTTAGGAACTTCTTTTTTTAATTTGTAATAAAAATTTACAACTTGATTATAAAAAAAGTCCAAACTGCAAACACCTGTTAATAAAGGTCTTAAATTAAAAAAAAAAAGAAATTAGGTCCTCAGTAAATATTGTCACATGCCTGGAGTGGTGATACATGTCTGTAATCCTATAGCTGAAGGACTAAGGCAGGAGGATTAGATATTAGTTCTAAGCCATCATGGTGGTGATGTAAGACTCTGTCTCAAAAAATTGAAAAACAACAAAAATAATGCATAAATGAAAATATCACATAAATGAGTAGATGAATCTATAGCTAAATAAAGCCTACCTAATGCTTTTCTAACAAGATATTAATAGTACTCTAGAATAACAAACATTGGGTGAAATTGCAGGTGACCCTAGATCCAAGAAAAAAAGTAACTAAAATAACTTGTTTAAAAATTTTTAAATTATCTAAATAAATAGAGATGTTGGACTGAATATAAATAGTTCTCATTACATAGGGACAAATGTGAAATCTTGTTTTCATTGCCCCAAATCCAGCTTTACAAGTTTCATAAAATAAATATGTGGTTTAGTAGACATCTCCATGTTCTCAAAACTAACTTACAAAAATGGTCAGATATGACACTGGTATTTCAAACTAAGAACATACATTAGAATTTCTCAGAGGAGTCAGAGGTCTTCAATTAATAACCACTGTCTGGAACTAAAAGTCAAACCCAGAATCTGGTATTTCCCCTGACTCCATGGTACCTCTTAAAACGCAAACTAGGAAATTCTATTGCTTATCTTGAGATATGTCCTTATAAAATATAAATCAGATAAATTCTATAAATACCCTCTTTCATGAAAAGAAAAACAAGCATCCTTGAAGTAACCTGTCAGACCCTCTGCTCTCTGATTTCTGCTTCAAGGTTATTCTATTTGCTGATCCAGTGCTCAACCACCCAGGGTAAACTTCAGTAGTATTACCTGCACAGCCTTGAGTGCAAAGCCCTATTGTTTCTTCTTGACCATAGTCATGAGGAAGACCCTATCCTATACACTAGACCAATTTTTAACCAGTCTGCTTCATTCATTGCTCCTGTGAGATAAAGCCAGGCAATATAAAGTCTTCTTTTCTCTAAACATTGCTTCACTTTCATCGGTTACTACAGGTTCCTACTGATATTCAAACCCTCTCCGATCACCATGCTTTAGGAGCCACCAAGTGTATCTATTGTCTAAACTGTGTTCTTTAGGAGCACAGCTAGATCTTTCGTGCCCTTGGATTGTCAAGTGTTAGCAACTCAAAACATATGCAACATAAAACAAAATATACTTAGCTATCTTGCCCTTTACAGAAGAGTTTGCTAACCCAATGCTGTAGCACTCACATAACTCAATCCTGTACAGTGTGTTAAAAACATAGTTTCGCAGTTGGGCGGTGGTGGCTTTAATCCCAGCACTCGGGAGGCAGAGGCAGGTGGATCTCTGTGAGTTCGAGGCCAGGCTGGACCGACAGCCTCCAAAACAATACAGAGAAATCCTGTCTCGTAAAAACCAAAAAAAAACAAAAAAAACATAGTTTCATGAGCCAAACATTTATTTTGGAACAAACAAGAACAACGAAATCTTGGGGGAAGGTATTTGTCATTCTTACACCTGTTTCTGAATCTGAGAAATGGGAACAGAAAACCACAGAGCATTTCTGGGAAGGTTAAATACAACTAACTGCAGTGAGTATTGTTCACCAATGTCTGATAGACAATGACTGTATAGACAGATGCTGCCAGCATTATCACTCTGTGTCACGTTTTGTACCATTGAGAAGGCTGAAGCAGCTTCTCCAAGTTCATCATATTACTATTTGTTGGCAGAACATGATATGCATTTTGCAGTTATATATCCCCAGTGAAAAGGATGGTGATTACCGGATTTGTAGGCCTTTCACATTCTTTAAGCATGAATCTCTGTGTTGGCATGTTTTTACCTTCCAAGACATGACCTCATGCCACAGTGCTGGCATTTACAGGAAGCTATTTTTGCCAGGAAGTTTGCAGATGGTGTTAAGCTCTACTTCATCTGATCAAGAGATAGTCAAGCTTCACAGCAGCTTCTTGTGAATCTGCCCCACACTGGGTGACTATCCTAAAGGAACACGGTCCAAGGCATTGAAGAAGCAAACTGACCTTGAAGCCAGACAGCCAAAGAAGATCCCTACTCTAACTTATTATTATAGTTAGGTCTCTTCAGAGTCATATATTCACTGATTCATCTCTAAAATAAACATAAAATGAGCTGGGTGTTGCATGTCTTTAATCCCAGTACTCACAAGGCAGAGGCAGGTAGATCTCCCATAAAAATAGAGGATTAAGCCAATACAGGAAATTATCTAGGCTTTTGTAAACTATAAATAATCAATGACTACATTCTACATTTCAGGTTCTGTGAGCACATTTTCCCTTTGTAAATTTTAGGAGAGAGGAAAAGAGAGGAAGAAAGACTATGAGATTATTGCCATGGTGCATGTGTGGAGTTTAGAAGACAACCTCAGGCGCCAATCTCCGATTTCTATTTTGTTTGAGACTGGGTTTCTTTGTTTTGTCATTATATACACCAGGCTATCAGGCCCTGAATGTCCAGGCATTTTCCTGTCTCCATCCTATTTTGCCACAGAAACACTGGGATTATAGATACTGCTGTTATTTGCATCAAACTGCAGGTTCAAACTCAAGTCCTCACCCTTGAGTGGTAAGCATTTTAGCTACTGAGCTATCTCCCCACAGATATTTTAAATGACTTTTTAAGGTAGAGAAATTGTCCACAAATTAACAAAACAAAATGTTATTTTTCCCTCAAGACCATAAACGAAGACCTTCACAAAGGTAAGGATGTACCACCAGTGCTCTGGCCATCTCCACTTGCGTTTCAGTTAATCTGGCATAGGATGTCAACGAACTCTCGGAGGGCATATCTGTGCATCTCAGATAATATATCTGACTGCTTGATTGGTTTTACACATTTCCTGTATACCCTTTTCCTCTGATAGGTGAAGATCTGATCAATCAAGCCCATTTGTAACAAAAATACTCTGAGATACAAACATGGGATCTTCTAGATGTGTGCCGAATATTGTTACATCACAACAAATCTTAAGCTTTACTTCCAGGTCTTCAAACTATAGAGTTTGGGAAAATAGCACATTGTCCAAGAGTTATGACAAAGGAATGGTTCTTCTTAATTTCATTTTTTTTATTGAAACTAAATGACACAGAGGCGGTCAGGTGATATCTTGAGTCTAAAGGTAGACTTTGTCTTCCAATCCTACCTAATTTCATAGGGTGGGATCTCTCTTCCTATGCCATTTTACCTCTGGAAATATGTCAACATTTGCCCGAATATAGAAAACATAGTGCCTTCTGTCCTTACCAGGGGTGGTCGTTCTTTCAGTTCCAGTAGTTTCTGTCTCAGTTCTCTGCGTGCCTCCCTGAATTTACTGTCCAGGGCTGGGGAAAGGGTATCTACCAGCCCCAAGATCATGTAACTCTGTATCATGTCCCTGTGAAGACAAGATTGCCCAAATGAGGAATCCCTTCAATTAAGCACCTTAGCATACCTGTGCTCAACCCTGTCCTCTATATTTACAAAGAACAGGCTGTCATAATTGCACAGGCATCAAGAACAGCCTTTCCTGATTTGCCTGTGGTGGTGACAGAGGAGCCAAGTAAAGAAGCTGCCTTCTGAAGTTACTGGGAGAGGAGGACTTGATCCATCTATTGCCACAACCGGGGAACCTCAGCTCATCAGAAGACTGACTGCCAAGTCCAACGAAGCTGGGTTGTGGTTTGCCTTGGTCCTGCTTGCAGCTGTCACTCCAGGAACACTTAATAAAACTGCAGAAGCCACACAACTGATGCTTTGCCTCCCCTGTAAAGACTTCTAGACAATATCACCCCTGAGACACTATCCAGAAGTACTGGGTTCATAGCTTTCAGAGTCGGGCTTCTGAATGAGAGAGGGGAGAGAGTGTACCAATAAAGATGGGGACAATGGGAGTAGTCTATGCATGCAAACGTTGAGCTCAGCAACAGAGTAAGCCTATGGAGTAAGATCTCCATAAAGGGCCGGTGTTGCATCCCTTGGCGGATGCCTCATCTTGTCTTACTCCTGTATCCTTCATTTCATGTGTCTCTCGGTCTTCAGCTCCCAGGGGCTTACATAATTCTTGATTTTTTTTAATGTTTCCTTCATGCCACCCACCCTACCCTTTCTCTGCATGCTCCCCCATCCCACACATGTAGCTGGTGACTCCCAGTCAAGGTGTCCCGGATACCTATGTGTCCTCACTCTCTTTCCCTGCCCAACATATCTGTCCAACTCCACCTGGGCGAACCTGCTTGTCAGCAGCTCTTCTTCTACCAGCTGAGACATGTTTCTCAGGTAGTCTAGGTCATGGACCACGAGGGTCTGGTTGGGACTCAAGGACATCGGTGTGAACGTTGCTTGTAGACAGGACAGCCAGTCGATGGCAGGTGCCATTTCCTTAGAGAAAAGGCACAACGTTGAGGAGAAGAAAAGGACAGCAGAAGGAACAGAACAGAGAGGGAACGGGGAGGGGAGGGAGGGCTGTGCTGGGGGGAAGGATTGGAGAACGCGGGGGTTATAGAAAATGAAAATAATGAAAGGAAGTAAGGGGTCAACAAGATGGTTAAAGGAGCTTGCCACAGAGCCTGACAGCCTGAGTTCAGTCTCCTCCCAGCCCATAATGACGGAAGGCAAGAATCCAACTTCTGAAAATTGTTCTCTGACTTCTGTATTTACATGTTCATGCCCAGCATCCCACGTAATAAATACGTCAACACAGACACTTTTTAAAGTAAAGAAATTAAGGGTACTGGGAGGAAGACGATGAAACAGGGAACGTTTTGAGAGGGCCACCAAGCACAAGCCCTCAGTCCCCAGCCAGGCACCTGCAGTTCCCTAATGGTAACCACATGGAAGAGCTTGTCTTGTGCCTGCTGCTGCTCGAGTGGCCTCAGAAACTGGAACAGTCGTGAGGTAAAGGAGATGAACCAGGAGGCGTGCTGTTGTACTTTCTGTGGGTCACCTCCTAGTAAAGTCCCCAGGCGATTCAGGTAAGTCAGCTGTTCCCGCAGGATCTAGAGGAGAGCAAGCTTAGTCACAGAAGCTAGACGCCTTTTTGCCTGGGTGCAGAGCGGGAGGGGGTGTGTTGAGTGGAATCTTACCTGGGCATAGATTTTCTGTTCTTGCTCTTTCTGGAGAAGAATGTCAAACTCCGGCTGGTCTATCTGGACACAAGAGAGACTGGAGAGAAGTAGGAGCATAGGGGATGGAGAGGGTAGGCATGGGAAGGTAGGGGATGTACCATGGAAGATGGGGAAATGGGAATATGGAAATGAGAGAGGGGAGAGAGTGTACCAAGAAAGATGGGGACTATGGGAATAGTCTATGCATGCAAACGTTGAGCTCAGCAACAGAGTAACACACAGATTTCTTTAGAGGAAGCTATTCTTTGTGCCAGTGTAGATCTAGAGCAGAGGATATGAGACACCATGTCAGGTGCACTAATTAAGAAGTACTCAAAACTCAGCAACAAGATGCACATTTTAATACATACTTTTAAAATAAAATTAATGCAGAAAATCCATCATGAATAAGACATCATGACTTTGCTTATCATGAATTTTTTAAGATAAATTCTACAACATTAGGACCTTGCAACATGGTTGTCCAGTAGAATACTTATCACAGAGGAGGCCTTGGATTTAATCCTTAGGACCAAATTGCACACTGTCTTTTATTCTATTTTTAAATTATAATTGCTTTTAAAAGAATCATAATAGTTTCGATCAAATTTGAAAAAATATTTTTAGAATTATAAAAATGAAAATTCGATAATTTGCTCATAAGGATGTTGCATTAATTTGTATTTTAAAAAAATATTCAGATGTACATAGCATTTATATTGATACTATATGTAGGTGATCTGTTAAACTTTGCTCCTCCAGTCAAATGTCCAGGCTCCATTGTACTTTGATTCAGAGAATATGTGTGTTCGTGTTCTCCTTTCTCTCTTCTTATTTGAATATACCACCCCTGCTCCTTTCTTCCATCTTGAAAATGATCTTTTATTTGATGCTTTTATTTCATTTGTGTCCAAAGTTTTAGAGTGGGGAAAAGGCATCCTTGTCCATTGTTTCAATTTCCTTCCTGTCTTCCTGAACTCCAATTAGCATTCTCTGTCCATTCTTAGAAAAAAAATCTGTGACTAGCTGCAAATTTTCAACGATGTCTTCCAGTTCTCTACCCCTCTACGTGTGGGAGTCCCCGAAATCCGTAGTTCCTTTCTGTAGCTCTCCCCTTTCCCTTGTGATCCCTCCTATGGGACCTGTCTCCAAGATCCCGTGCACTCCCTATTCCTCCTGCTTAATTGTCTCACGGACACATCTGTTCTTCCCACCTAAAGTTACTCGAGAGACATCCCAGACTGGAGCTGATTGAGTGACTCAGTGTTCCCTCCATCTCCTTATATTTCCAACCATGGGAAGTCTCTGAGACTATCAGCAATGTGTTGAAACTGACCATATTCTCCCGATCATTTCTTACTTTCCAGTTTTGCTGTTAAGATAGACTCCTCAGCTGCTTTAAGTTGCCTCCAAAGGTGACTATTCTTAAGCTCTACACAGATTCATGGTGATATCTGACAGAATTCAGTAGCTCCTCCTTTTACCATATATTCATGGTTATGAATTCTTCTTGACTGGGCCAACAATAATTTCTGGTGCAGTCCCATGTTTTCATTTATACCCAACCTCCAGGCCAGCCTCTTACAGGCCTTGTGCCGAAGCCAACCATTTCAAGTACTTCCCTTAGCTCATAATTTCTCAATAACCCTTTTATGTTATCTTTTAGCTTCATTCTACACCCTGAATAATTAATTAGCCATGCCCCAAGGCTCTGTTGATGCCCTCCTCTCTAGATCCATCTTTAAGCATTTCAGACAGCTAAACACACAGATCTGTACATTAAAGTGGAATCTTAAAACGATTGTCGTGTCTTGAATAATCACCCTGTACAAAGCTGTGGAACTCAGAGACAAATATAAACCACTCCAGTGCTTACCACAGCAGTGATAGCTCCATTATTTACTTATTTACAAACACCTAGTAGTGACCACTAGTTGCTGAGAATAACTCTGGTCTTTTGAAGCCACAGTCTTTCAGAGCATTAGATGCTGAGAGTATTTAAAGGATGACAGGGGGACTTCACTCAAACCATAACTAGTGTGTCAGGGAAGACTTACTGAGAGAGACTTTCAAAGCTACATCTGAAACACATAGGAGTGACCTAGCATTGCTACAGGCAAGAAAGCAGCACATGCAAAGAGAAGAAGAGCATTATTGGCACGACGTGTGAGTCAGCAGAGCGCAGAGTATAAGGGGGAGACAGAATGTAACAGGAGATAAGCATAGGGGTCCAATCACAAACTTGTGATGCTTTGCTACAGATCTTGATGACTGAGTGATCTACTGAAATAACGGGCTCTTAGCTCTTAAACTTACAAAGGTGGCTTAGAGGAAATAAAAAAAATATATAAGAGAAGAGCAATTCTGGAGACAGATGACTGGCGAAGAGGTCCGGTAGAAATCCATATTTGTAATAAAGAAGGTTGAAAGTACTCCACTCCTCACAGAGCTGGCCTTGCTACACCTTTCCCAGGCTCAACCCGCAGTCCTGATCCCTACAGCACTAATTTTCCCCTAGGACAGGGCTATTCCCTGCGTTGCACACTGAAATCTCTTTTCTAAGCAGCGACAGCCTAGAGTTAGAGAGCTGTGAGCCCAGATACGCCTGTGGTTTTGCCCGTCTATCCCTCACCTGGATGACCAGGGTGTGTGGAGGAGCCGGGTGAGATCCCAGATGGGCTCTGAAGAACGGGAAGTGACCATACTGGCTCATCAGAAGCCGCAGGGTTCGGTTAAAGTCCAAGGAAGTCCAGTTGCCAGAAATGTGCCAACCTCCAAGCTAGGAAGAAGAGAAACAAAGTGAATTCAGGGACCCGACCCATGAGAGCTACTCTCCCGCCCCCCAAAATGTGTGAGTCTTTCTCCTCACAGTCACTGACTCTAGATTTCTGAGCATGTTGCTCTCACTAGGACTCTTCTTTCTCTACTCTCACTCCAAGTCTCCATTCTTAGGAAGTATTTCCATTTCCGTCTCCCTCCTAGCACTTGGAACCCCTGAGAAATCTAGAAAAATCATGGCAGCCCTCAAGGACGCATTCTGAATTGCCCAGAAATGTGGACAACCCCCCAATTTTTTTCACCTCCTCAATAACTTGTTGGAGGGGACCTGCCCCGGCAGATTCAATGGCATCTGTATCCATGCAGGAGTTATAAAACTGGAAGGCTTTCTCCTCTCCAGATCTTAGGCGCCATGATCCTGGGGTCTCTAGAAAAGAAAGGGAAAAATCGTACGAGTGGAGGTGGGAAAGTCCAGGGATGTTCAGGAAACTTCCCCACCGTCATATAGAAGAGAGGCAAGCTTAGTTTGACCCTCTTAGACCCTCCCAGCTTTTAATGGTTCAGCTTGACCACAGGATGAGAGCAGAGATGGGGTACAGACAAAAGGATGACAAGGACAATAGAAAAAATGCAGAAAGGGAAACAGGAAAGAAAGGAGATGGAAAGAAAGAAAAAAAAGCTAAGTGGGGTGGAAATAAGGAGAATGCTGACTAGAAGGAGAGGGAAGGGATTTCTGGTAGAATTTACAGCCATCCAGATCACCCGAGACTCAGTGGTCCACCCACCCAAAGCGTCTGCCAACCTGTGTCCTCACCCAACAGCCTCCACAGTTTGTTCTTGTTCTCTTCTGTGAGAACCTTAAAAGAGTTACTGGTCCCATTGGCTTTCTCGCAGACAAAGCTGAAAAAGTCAGTGCAGGGGTCTGCATTTCTGTTTCCAGAGGCCAGGTAATGGTCCAGAAGTTTCAAACACACAGGTGTCTCACAAGGGCCTGTGGAACAAAAGCTTAGAGCCAGAAAAGGAGAGCAAACTGGACAAGGGCTCCCCCAAGGGGCTGGCAAAGGGTTTTTAGTGGGGGAGCAAAGGAGGGACAGTTAAGAAGGAAATGGTCTGACTGGTGGCCTGCTGTGGGATCCAGGGAGAAAGCAGTCTAGATCCTCAGGGACAAGAGAGTCATGGGGCAGGAGCCTCAGGGGACAAGCGAGGGAGGGCTGCTCGGGCCAGGGGTGTTCCAGGATGTTCCTTACGAGGACCACAGTTCCGGAAGATGTACACCCAAAGCACAGAGGAACCGAGGAGCAGGCCACAGAGCAGGACACCTATAAGCCCTCGCCTGGCTCTTGTCCACCGTCTGCTCCGTCCAATAGCACGTCCCTCACCTGGAGAACCCTAGTGGGGGAAACCAAGAGGGAAACAAATGAGACAAAGTAGTTTGGGAGGGACAGCGACAGCAAGATGATGGGGGTGTGTGTGTGTGAAAGGAAACGCCGGTGTTAATGTCCCTTTGTACAGGAGTCGTTTCTCTTTAGACCTCTTGTACATGAGCCTGCAGTTCTGTGTGTGTGTGTGTGTGTATGTGTGTGTGTGTGTGTCTGTGTGTGTGTGTGTGTGTGTGTTGGGGGGGGGGAAGAAACAGGATGTGTAGGACATCAGAGATGGAAGAGATGACCCCAGTGCCGTAGCAGAGGCCACTTACCTCCTGGCTCCAGGGAGGTCCCATTCTGCTGGCCTGACCCTGTCCCACGAACTCTTCCCCTCCTTTGTCCTTCTCCTCCTGAGGTGAGTGGAGGAGGGAGTAGGAGAGAGAAGCTGGTTCAGAAAGGAAGGGCATGTTAAAGACGGACGTATCGAGCCATGCTGACACCCACCCTCCCCTCCTCCCCTGTCCCACCCTTCCCTTCCATTCTGAAAGCCCCATGTCCCCTCCTCTCCAGGTGTGCTGTGTGTGGGGAACGACAGGACATTTGCACATACCGCCCTAACCCCCACCCCAGGCTCCGGCTCCAGAAGCTGGATGTTTCTCCAGGACACTTGCCATCTGTCTGTGCTTCTCTCTGGCTCCCAGAATCCTCCCTGGTTCGGCTCCGGGTGCTGTATCTAAAGCCAGCGTACTGAAGACGACATCCCTTTTGCCCCAACTCCCAGTCCCTTGCTGCCCTGGAGAAGGGGCACCCCCTTCCACTCTACCCTTCTGTCCCCAAATGTGTACTGTTGGCCTCTGGGTGGGGCCTGCTTATCAGAGAGGGAACACTCAGGCCTCCCCTCCTGCTTTATCTCAGACTTTCAGGGGGGAAGAGGGAGGCATCTTCACTCAGTAAGCAATCTTGGTCTGCTCCTTGTGTTTGGCTTTGTAACTTTGCCCGCACTGTCTCCTTATTTCTAGAATATCCTTTCCTCCTCGGCTCTCTTTTCTGATTGAAATCTCCAAGATTCTTTCCTTCTTGGGTCAAATACTACTTGCCGGGGAGGCCTCACGGGCCCCAAGCCCATTCTTCCACACTGCTCCCAAGCACGCTTCACTGCCTCTGCTTGTGAGTCATGGTCCCCGCCGGTTGTAGTCGGAGCCACACATTAAAGAGATCGCCCAACTAACAGCCCCTAACCTGCTAATTATTAGCCCTGCAACAATAAACAAGTCTCTTCCATTCTCAGGAAGGTAAGCGAGTTTGTCATCTGGAAAATGAAGGTCATACTTTCCCATGCCTGCCTCCTGGGGTCCCATACCTGCTGCAAAAGAACGACGCCTCTCTCTCTCTCTCTCTCTCTCTCTCTCTCTCTCTCTCTCTCTCTCTCTCTCTCTCTCTCTCTCTCTCTCAAGTTTCTTCCTTTATTCTGCACTCTGTTAAGAAGACGATTTGCATCTCCATCTCCTTATTGGCCGGAAATATTTTATGGCAGGCACGGTGCTCCTTTTCCTTCGTAATCTTTCAAGATGCTTCACAAACGTGTGGTAGGAGTAGATGGAATGCCAAGCGTAAACCCCTCCTTCCCACATCACCCTGGGCCCTCCTCAGTGGTCTCAGCAATGCAGGTACATGTCTGTCCCTGTGTCCTCTGCCTAGGCAGAATGTGGTACATTAGGGCATCCAAGAAAATGGCATGAAAGCGAAACATCCTACTCACATCCTCAGTTTGGATTCCCTGGGAGGGACGTGCAGGCAGCAGGGTGGCTATGCAATTTGAAAAGTAAGGCAAAGGTATCGTATCATTTGGGCCATGGTGTCATGAAGACAGGTTAAGACTTCAACACAGGAAAATAGTCGTGGAATCCACCGCTAGGATTAGGAGTTTATGAAAGGTCAGAGGTAGGTGTCAGCATGGTCTCGGATGGCTAGGATAACGGAGGGGCCAGAAACAGAAGTGGAATTTTGGCTAAGGGTGGGAATGAGGATCAGACTAATGGAAAACGGATAACTCGAGGATATCAAAAGACCATGGTCCAGGGCCCTGCAAGATAGCTGCAGCACCCATATGGCTCACAACTTCCTACAGCTCCAACACCAGGGAATCTGACACTCCCTTGTAGCTTCCACAGGCACCTGCACTCTCATGTAGGCAAACACGCGCATACACACACACGACTAGAATATAAATATGAAAAACGTTGTCCACACAAGCATTATGACACATGAGTACCTACACACACTGCACACACACACACACAGACACACACATGTGTTGAAGGGTCTATTCCGCTCTGGTACACACCGAAGGTGACTCCTTTCTTAGGAAATCTAGATTTTCTATCCATGAGCACTCATACTTTCACTGTATTCATTTATTTGTCACCAGCCAATCCCTTCAGTAGGCAATTCTCTAGGAAAACGATTACAGGAACAGTTAAGATTAGATGAGTGTCAGCTGGTGTTCTCATGCCCTCATCTGAATCATGGTGTTGACACGTGAGAGTAAGTTGAGGAGCAGTGTGCTGGGTGACATTAGCCCTGTGGACACAGCCTCCACAGCCCGAACTTAGGTTCTCTCCTTGTTGGTGAAACTGAGCCAATAATCATGATGGGAGGTGGGTTCACCCCTCCCTACCAAGATGCTCCTGAAGGTAAAATAACCACTGTTCCTGGAGCTGCCCCAGGAGTGAGGCCTCCTTATCTGCTGTGTCCTGCTCTGGGTGACTCATCACCACCACAGCCATGCCCAACACATGTGCAGAGCAGCCAAGTCATGGAGCTGGGCAGTGAGGAGACAGAACCAAGCATGCAACAGCCATGTTTCTCTCTGCAGACACTGCTTCAATTCCTCTCTGCCAATGACTCCAATTCCTACATCTTTTTCCTGATACCATATCAGCAGAAAGTGGGACAGCAGCAGTGTCTGCCATCTACAGACCACATCCAGTGGGCAAAGAGTGTGTAGAATAATTCGGCCATACGTATCCATCAGTCTTCACAGCAATTCTATGGAAGGAGATAAGAGCTTTTGATAACTCCATTTTTTTTTCAGATGAAAGTGGAGGTATACAGAATATGGTAAGCTTGTACATTGTTGTAAAATCAGTAATTAAGCAGAACAGGGAACTGAACCAAAGCCTTAACAGTTGAGTCTCTCTGGCATTAACCTTGTTTTAGTGATTTTTTTTTGGTTTTTCAAGGCAGGGTTTCTCTGCATTGTTTTGGTCCTGGAAATCGCTCTGTAGACCAGGCTGGCCTCGAACTCACAGAAATCCACCTGCCTCTGCCTCCCGAGTGCTGGGATTAAAGGCGTGAGCCACCAACGCCCAACACATGCATTTTAGTGAATTTCTTAAAGTCAAAATTTAGTTGTTTTTCCTTTTTAAACTGTCTTTCATTTCCTTGTATTATTATGTGTTAACTGGGGATAGGAGTGGTTATCTGTTATTCTCCAAAACTTTGTTATTCGTGCTCATGGTCTAACCCAGGACATATGGGATGCTAGGCAAGTTCTCCAACAGTAATCTACATCCAGAGTCATATTCTTCAAATTCTTCTGTTTTTATATTTGTGTGTATAGTGCATGTGCATGTTCATCTATGTACCTATATCTGCACCTGTGTGCAAACATGTTGAGGCCACAGGTCAACATCATTTCTTTCTCTCTTGGCCTCTCCCTTCGCTTGGAGAATGAGTCAGGGGTTTACCACTTAACAACACTAGCTGTCCACTGAGCTCTTTGGAGCCCCCGTCTTTGCTTCTCCAGTGCTAAGATTATAGACCCTTGGCACCATACTCCGCTATTTTCATGGGTGCTGGGGACTGGAACTCAGATCTTTATACTAGTGCAAAAAAGTCATCTTTTGTTTTTTAATCTCAAATATGATCTCTAGCTCTCAAATATGTCCTCCGCTGAAGGAGTGGTTATAAAGTCCTAAGCCAGTACATAGGGACCTGGGTTTTCTTGACTTCTTGCCAAGTCCTCAGCACTGCTTGGGGCATCAAACTAATTACACTTGTCTACTCATAATCGGATCTAATGCACATTCATGAATAGATTCTCAATTGTCAGTGCAATCAGATGATCTCAGAATCACCATTGGTGTGCACATCTGGGTACCCACGGCATGTACATAAATGTCCTTCATTTTTCAAACCCTAAGTGCTATAGACTACAGCACTGTCAACAACACAGGCACTGTATTCAGACAGTAAAACTGAATATTCAAGAAGATGGCTTGAGAATCTTAATGTGTGTGTATTTACATGTGTGTGACAGGGTCTCACTTATGTGGCTCTGACTACCGTGCCTGGAAGGCGGAAAGTGTTTTGTGAAATCACTTCACTGTTAAATCAGTAAACTTTTTAATATTTTAGTTTCCATGTGCATTTTATAGATGTGTGACTACAAAAATATTACATTTAAGCATCCCTATTTAATTGAATGAGCAAATAAATTTAAAATATAGTAAGGCAGGTTTGATGGCACACTTGTGCCTTTAATCCCAGCACTCAGCGATGAAGACAGGAAAGTTGTGAGCTCAAGGCTAGCTTACTCTAGTAACTTGGGTCAGTTCTACTTATTATTCCTCAACAAGGGTTTGCATAAAACATTGCTAAACCCGCTGTCTTAGTCAGCCCTCACCATGATAATTACTTGGAATAACTTCCCCGCTCAATGGTACAAAGCAAACATTCATTCACGTGTTCAAAGCTCTGTGTGCCAACGCATGCTCTTCTGAGCACCGCTGTGTTCTTCTATGACACTAGTTGTATTCAGAGGAGTCTAAATCTGGGACACCAGCTCATACAGACAGATCTCATGTGTGCTTTTCCAGGCTAAGCTTCTGAGATACAGAGCTGAGATTTAGCAGGTCGTGTCTTCCCAGAAAGAACCATCGTGGTGAAGACTTAAAGCAAAGCATGTAAAGATTTTACAGCTAGTGTTTCAACGTGTGTGCTAACACTCCACTGGCCAGATGCAAACTCAGTAAATCAGAGCTATACTTCGCTTATAGCAAAAGGGCAAAACGAAAGAATGTTTAATTAATGAGCCTGTACCACCATCCTCATTTCACTGAAGGCCTCAAAAACTCTCTAGCGAGAATAAGGTAGTTTAGTTACGTTTGACATCATAAAAAATGATCCCTATATGAAGCCGTCAAATCTACAAAGAAATGAAATGGCAAAAACCAGACAGGATCATCCTTTTATGAGGGAAATGTTGAAAAAAATACACTATCTGATGAATGATGAGCCTGCTTCATTTGCTCTAGTCCTGGAACGCATCTCAGAGTGCATGACAGAATAGCATGCTCTCACCTCTTAAATCTTTAATTTGACCTACTCATGATCAAAATACTGTTAGCTCTTACACAGGATAATTTTTCTAAGACTC